AGCAGGGAGCCCAATGCGGGGCTCGATCCCAGGACCCCGGGACCACGACCCGAGCCGAAGGCAGACGCTCAATGACTGAGCCACCCAGGCGCCCCTGTAGTCTAATTTTCAAAAATTTTCATTCCCCCAAAAAGAAAGCCCATATCCATTAACGGTCATGCCCCCTTCTCCCCAGCACTCCCCCCCCCCACCAAGCCCAAGACAACTATTCATCTATTTTCAATCTCGATAATTTTGCCTATTCTGGACATTTCATATAAATGGAATCCTATAATATGTGGTCTTCTGTAGCTGGCTTCTTTCATTTAGCATGTCTTCAAGATCTATCCATATTATACCATGTGTTAGTTCTTCATTCCATTTTTATTGCTAAATGGGTGCCCATGTGTATGGACATATGTTTTCACTTCTCTTGGATATACCTAGGACTGGAATTGTGGGGTTGTAGGGCAACTCTATGATTAACCTTTTGAGGAACTGCCAGGCTGTTTTCTAAAGCAGGTGCATTTTACATTCCCATCAACAGGGGATGAAGGTTTCAATTTCTCCACATCCTCACCAACACTTGTTATTGTCCATCTTGTTTATTATAGCATTCCCGGTGGGTGTGAAGTGGTATTTCATTGTGGTCTTGATTTTCATTTCCCCAATGCCTAATGATGTCGAGCATCCTTTCATATGCTATTGGCCATTTGTTTATCTTCTTTGGAGAAATATCTCTTCAGATCCTTTGCCCATTTTTTTTTTAAAGTAGGCTATTTTAAAAAATTATTTGTAATTATTCTTTTTATATTCTAGATACAAGTCCCTTATTACATACATGAATTGCAAATTTTCTCCCATTCAGTGAACTATCTTTTTCATTTTCTTGATGGAGTCCTTTGAAGTAAAGAAGTTTTAAACTTTGAGGAAGCCAAATTTATCTATGGGTTGCTTGTGCTTTTGATGTCAGATCTAAGAAGCCATTGCCAAATCCAAGGACATGAAGATTCACCTCTGTGTTTTCTTCTATGTGTTTTGTAGTTTTGGCTCTTACATTTAGGTCTTTGGTTCATTTTGAGTTCATTTTTATACATGGTGTGAGGTAGGGGTCCAACTTCATTTTTTTGCATGGGGATATCCAGTTGTCCAGCCTTATTTGTTGAAAAGACTCTTCCTCCTCCATTATTTCTTAGTACCTCAAAGATACACTGTATATGCATCTTGCACTTATTTTTAAATTGTCATTTAGTTGAGAAGACTCCTATTTGGTTATTTTTTTACTGGAAGTTGATATATTTAGAAACTGATTTGATTTCTTATTAGATAGAAGAGGCAAAGTTATGCTGCACTAACAAACAACCCAGTCTTAGTGCTTTATTCCTCACTTGTGCTCAAGTCCAACGTCAGTTTGTAGGGCGAGCTCTACCCTTCACAATTACTCAGAGACCTGCCCAGGTAGAGTCTACATCTTTACATAAACAGGCTTTCACAGTTGCCAGGGCTGGGGAAAAGAATGTGGTGGTTCTTAGAAATTTCCCAGACTGCCTTCTTAAACAAATGGTATCTAAAACGGTAGCAAGAGTTTTTAGGTTCTTGGAGAACTATCAGAGAGGGGCAGAATGAGCACAGGCTCAGAACCTAAAACCCTAGTCTGCCACTTACCATCTGTATGTCTTTAGGCAATTTATCTGACTTCTTAAAGCCTTTCTTTTTTTTTTTTTCCTGTATACAATATCCAACTTGCAGGAGAAATAATGGCAGTGTATGTGGGTATCTAGCAAAACAGCAGGCAGATAATGGGCATCCAACAAACAAGAAGTTCCCTTCTTCCTCATCTGCACCAGGATGCCCCTCTTTGGTTCATCATGAGACCCTCAGCAGAGGTTAGGGCTGGGATAAGGACTCACCATCCCTGCTTTAAGGGGCAAAGATTGCACTTGGTCTGGGTGCTGCCAAGTGATCACAGCACTGAGCAAAGTTTTCTTTTCCCCTATTTTTAAAAACAACCCAGGCATACTCAAAGTCCCATAAAAATCTAGTGTATTAATCCACCTTAAGCACATGCATGCCTTACCCTGTCATTTCCTAACCTGCTACAAAGAAACATGAATACCCATAAGGAAAGACAACCTGTGGGTACTTGGTTCTAGCATGCTGTCAGAGCTCTGAACTTGCTTCAGAAGCATCTAGCTTACCCCACCCAGCGCCATCTGACTTTCCATGAATGGGCCCAAAGAGGGCACTTGCTCTTGTGGCCTCCATCCTGAGACAGAGGTACAGTGGGGAATTAGAGTGGCAGATCTTCCAGGAGAGTAATGGGCCCAGCAGAGGAACAGAGAAGGGACTTTCCTACTGCAGAAATGTCACCTGAGGCTGCCTGAAAGGAGAGCTCCAGACTGCTGACCCCAATTCTATCACCAGGGCATAGCGAATGTGCTGAAACATCCATGACTACCTTTCTCAGGTGTCAGGTGGACACGGGGCTGCTGGAGGAAGGGTGAAGGGTCAGGATGTCCCTCCTCAGGCAGCTAGGATGTCCAGGTCTGAAACTCTGCCTTTTTAAAACAAACCCAAGGAAAAAACGTCTCTGCCTCCAAGACAGTGAAGAGTGGAGGCACCTTCTCTTTAGCAGGGGTCCAAATACTTGAACCTGGATCCTAATTATCCTGAGTTCACTAGCACTGTAGAGTAGAAAGACAGGCATTGCCCCTCATGATCCCACCTCTCCAGTTGTTCTCTGTTGCTCACAATCCATTCAGAGCAATTCAGCAACTCTTAGCCGAGGACTTACAGTGTGCCCGGCATTGTGTAAGGTGCCAGGATAAGTTAAGACTTTGTTCCTGTTCTCAAGGAGATTAGAGTTGTCTCAGTCTCAGCTAATAACAACCAGTTTTTTAAAGCACTTTTTATTAATGTACACTATACATATGGAAAAGTTCACATAGAATAAGTATGTGCAGCTCAGCTCAATGAGTTTTCACAAACTAAAACTAGTGGCCAGGTCAAGAATGGAACATTATCAGAAACCCAGAAGCCCTCCCCTCCCCTTTCCAGTCGCCACCCTAAGATACCCTGACTTCTAGTAGCAGCAGGAACCAATTTGTACTGAGTGTATCTTATGCACCAGACACCAGTATAAGCACATCTATTGGCTCATTTAATTCTCACCCATGGATATGAAGGCACGATGAGTGGGGCACGCAGCTAGCAAGTGGGAGAGTCTAACTCTGAACCCAGATGGTTTGTCTCCAGAGCCCTCCTCCTTGACTACTAACCCTTACATTTCCAGCCCTGGAAGCAATAGATGCCGCTCAGGAAGTGCTGCCATAGGAATGCATTAACGATGCTCCTGGATCAGTTCTGCTGGGGGTGAGGGGGCTGGAGACAGGCCTTAAGGAATGGATAGGGGTGCCCCTAGCCCATAAAGGGGAGCTGAGAAGCGGTTGGGAGTGCAGGGGTCCTGTGTGGCGAGAGCAGGGTGGACACAGGTGGGGGCGGGAACTGGAAGGGCTTGTTGGAGCAAGATTCTGAACAGCATCGGGTGTTGCGACTTCGTTGGGGCAGGGAGGGACTCGCTGCAGGCAAGAAGCCACGGTCAGCCCCCAGGAGTGCAACTGTGCTGGACCTGCTTGCTTCCCTGGCTCCGATGTGTGGCACAGAATGGGACCCAGCCTCGCCAGGAGCATCCTTGGCTTGGCCTCTAACCAATTATTCATTTTTGGTTGTACAGGCTTAAGAGCTGTGCAAAATGCTGTGGTTGTTTTCACGCGTGTTGAGGCAGGGTTAAAAAAAAAAAAAAGACTCCGTGCCCATCTTTTGAGATTCTTTTTAACCCAGATGGCAGGAAAGAGACATAATCAAGTTTAAAGATAATGGACAAGATGGAGGAAAAAAGGGAAGATAGCCTCCCGAAAAGTCCGCGTGGGTCAAGCACTTTGTGTGTGCAAGGCCGTAGGTGGGTGTGGGGGCGGCAGCGATCGAATAGCAGCAGGGCTACAAATGACATAGGGAAAGGAGAAAGGGTGGTGGTGTCCACTTGGGACGCCTGGGAAGGCTGCTTGGACACAGTGAGCCTTGAGGGAGAGGTGTGATTTGGACTTAGGGCGGGAGGCGAGGCGAGAGGTTGTTATGCAGAAGTATCCAAGTGAGAAAGCCAAGCCGCAGCCAGAACTTTTGGACACCAGGGTTACACCCGAGGAGTGGGCGGAGGCCCGGGAACTCCAGCTAAGGAGGTGGGGCCCTGCGCCTCCGGCAAGGGAGTCTTAAACGCTCCCGAACTCCCAGGGGACTCGCCATTCACCGTCACGAGCCAGACATCCCCGGCCCCGCCCTGGCCGACGCCCGCGCACCTCTGCACCCAGTGCCCAGGACTTGCCCCGCGCCCTCGCGGCCCCAGCCGGCTCGCCGCGCCCCTCCTTCCCGCCCAGCCTTCCGCGCTCCCCCGCTTGCCGCGCAGCGCAGCGCCGGCTCCTCCCGCGGCTGCATTGCAGACGCCGCCGCCGCAGGGCGCGCCAGGGCCGCGCCGGGAGCCGAGCCCGGGTACGCGGGGGGCCCCTGGGCGCGGGTCTCCAGAGCGGACCCGACGGCGCCGCTGGGCCGGGAGTCGGCGGGTCCACACCGCGGGGTCTGGCAAGCGCGGTCCGAGCGCGCCCCGCCGCGCGGGCCCCCGGGGAAGCCTCTTGGGGCCGTGAGCCCGGGGGAACGGGCGCGGCCGTCGGGCTCCGGGCCGTCTCTGCCCTCGAGTGGCCCGCGGCCGGCCCTCTTGCGGGCCTCCGCGAATCTGGACGGGGAGCGGGCGGCGGCGTCGCGAGGGGCCCTGGCCTGCCCGGGCCTCGCGTGCGGGCGCCCGGGGCCGCGGGGCCGCGCTCCGCCCGCACCCTCCGGGCCCGGCCGCCGCCGTCCAGCGCGGCGCCGCGCGGCTCCGGCGCAGTTCCGGCGCAGTCCCCGCGCCGAGCGGCTCCGCGCCCCACACCTGCCTCTGCCCGGCTCCGGGTGACGTAGCGCCCTCCGATTGGCCCGTGCGGCCGGGAGGGCGGGGCCGAGGCCGGTGAGCTCACCGCTGCGCCCCGCCATTGGCCCGGGCGTCGCACTCGGGCTGTGGCGGGGAGAGAGCGGTACCCGGAGCCCGAGTCGTTCCAGCTGCGGCGTGTGGAGCTGAGCGGGTTGGGCCGGGCTGGGCTGTCGGGGCCGGGCCGGGCGGGGCCGCGCGGGAGAGGAGGAGGAACGCAGAGGCGGCTCGGCGCCAGCCCGACCGAGCGGTGGCCGTGCTCTCCGAGTCCCGAGTGAGTGTGCGTGTGGCCGAGGGGAGAGTCGGCCGGGCGCGTGCGGGGCGAGGGCGGCGGCCGGCGGGGGCGCGCGGGGCGGCGGGGGCGCGCGGGGGCGGGGCCGGGGCGGGCGCGCGCCGCGGCCGGGGCGTGGGGGGCGCGCGTGTTCGCGCGAGGGGGCGCGGGGTGTGTTGGAGTGGGTGCGAGGACACGCGCAGCTGTGGAGGGGGAGGGGGCGTGAGGGGCGCGCGTGCTCCTGCGAGGGGGGAGTGTTTTGACGCGTGAGTGTGCGTGGGCACCGGCGTGTGTTTACGGCGCGGGTGTGAGGGAGGGGGTGTTGGACCGAGCGTGAGAGGCGCGTGTTGATGGAGCGAGGGGGAGGGCGTGCGCGTTTGAGAGCGGGTGTGCGAACACGCGTGTTTACAGAGCGAGTGGGGAAGGAGGGAGCGCGCGTGGATGGGTAGCGCGAGGGGACCGAGTGTGTTTTGACGCGAGTGTGCGCGGGGCTGGCGTGTGCCGATGGAGCGCGCGTGTCTGTGAGGAGGTGTGCTGGGGAGTGGGTGTGAGATCACGCGTGTTCTTGGGGCGAGTGGGGGTGTGAGGGAACGTGAGGAGCGAGGCAGAGCGCGCGCGCGTGTTGGTGCGAGGCATGGGTGTGAGGACACGCGTGTGTGCGCGAGGGAGCGGGAGTGTTTGGGTGAGTGGCGGTCTGGGGGCGCGCGTGCGGGGAGTGGCCGCGGCGGGCGGGCGGGCGGGGGCGGCGGGGCGCGAGCCGCGCGGGCGCCCACGGGGCCGCCGACTGGTTTTTGTCTGCGAGGCGAGCCCTGGCGGCGGGCTTTTCAGATCCAGCGCCGGATCCCCAGGCGGGGCTCAGGGAGAGGGTGGGAGACAGGTGCCCCGAGGCGGGGAGGAGGGAGATCCAGGTGCCCCCGAGGCGAGGCGCGGGGAGAGGGTGGGGTGGAGGACAGGTGCCCTTCGGCGGGGAGGAGGGGGAGACAGGTGCCCCCGAGGCGGGGCGCGGGGAGAAGGCGGGAGGCAGGTGCCACTCGGTGGGGAGTGGGGCGGACAGGTGCCCCTCGGCGGGGAGTAGAGGGACATGTGCCCCACGGCGGGGAGTGGGGTGCTCTGGTACCCTTCGGCGGGGAGGGGAGGGACAGGTGCCCCTCGGCAGAGAAGAGGGGCGGGGACAGGAGCCCCCTCGGTGGGGCGTGGGGAGATGGAGCCGGACAGGTTCCCTTCCTTCGAGGAGAGGGGAGAGGGCCTGGGACTGGTGCCTCCTCCACCGAGAGAGGAGAGAAGATCCAGACCGGCGCCCCTTATGCGGGGAGAGAAGGTTCGGGACAGGTGCCTCCTCCGCGGGGCTCTGGGAAAAGGGCCGGGACAGCACCGAGCTCAGCCCTAGGCGCCTCTGCAGGACTAGGCGGTTGGAGGCTGCCTTTCCTAGCAAGCCAATGGAGTGAATGAACGTTTTATTAATGTGTGCGTAGAATCCGGCGGGGAAAGTTGGTTGAGTTCAGAGACTAAGAGGTTTGGAAGAACTTGAGAGTTTGGCTTACCTGGAACCAGGACAGGAAAGGTGCATTGACCCTTGCTTCCACCAGCCACGCTCAGATGGGCTGGAATAGAGGCTCCGTGTGGCCTTCTTGCATTTACAGGATCTCCCGTGGTTTGATTTAGGTATTGCACAACTTTAAGAGGTGGCCCTGATGGTGTTCAGATGTTTGAGACTTTTTCACTCTCCGTAGGTTTCTGTAGGCATCAAAACAAATTTTTGAAAGTTTAATACTATTGCAAAGTATCTTTTTCATCAGTTTACCAGCGAATGATGACAATTTTAGTCTATTTTCTATTTTGTCCACTATTGCTTGGTATGATTTCTGCTGATTAGTCTGAGGTATGTAATTAGCAAAGCAGATTCGGTAAAGGGAAGAAGTGCTGTCAGATATTACAGAAGTGCCTCGTGTATGTGTTTGGTTCTGTGCATTATATTTCAGTCACCAGTGAAGCCAAAACCTGAAATTTTAAAACTGTGCCCCCCCCCCAATTTTGTCATATATGGTAAAATGGCTGGCTGTATACAAAGGAAACCTTTTCTCTTTCTGCCCAAAGGAATTTTTCAAAGAGTTTTCCTACAGAAACCGTGTCATAGAGAGAAACTGCTGCCTGGGAACCTGGTAAAGAGAAACAGGTTCAGCAGTAGCACCTTTCACGGTGTGTGTTTATAGGAAAATAGTATTTTAAGACCAGAATTAGACAATAGCAAATAGCTTATGTATTTTCTTTTCTTTGTATTAGATCTAGAGAGTAACCATGTTTAACATTCTAGAAAATAACATTTATTTACAGGATATGCATTTCCCCAATAAATTTAGCTTAGTAGTGAAAACAGAGAAGTGCTATAAATATCTAAGAGACCTCCTTTCAGTCATCCTGGTTAATTATATGCCACAGAATCAAAGTGGAAACACAGTATTTAATGCAGTAGTTAAGAACAACATCGTATTAAAGATTTTTTAATCAACTTTTCTGCTTTTGTGATAGACACACACATTATTCGTTTCTTTTTTTTTTTTTTTTAATTTATTTGACAGAGAGACATAGAGAGAGAGGGAACACAAGCAGGGGGAGTAGGAGAGGGAGAGGCAGGCTTCCTGCTGAGCAGGGAGCTCAATGTGGGGCTCGATCCCAGGACCCTGGGATCATGACCTGAGCTGAAGGCAGCCGCTTAACTGTCTGAGCCACCCAGGTGCCCCACATTATTCGTTTCTTAGGACGCTGCTGGGCCTTCCTGTGTATAACAGCAGTGTTACTGCTGCAGGCTGTTCATGGTGGACTGCTTTAGAGAGCATAGACAACAGGTTGGACTGAGGATTTTTGTACTTAATGTGAGAAAGATAGTGAAGTTAAAGAGTTGGTGTTGAACTTCCCTGGCGGAAGCCCCGAGGCCCTTATTGATGGCTAAGCTGCAGGTGCTGTCTCAAAAGCCCTCATCTTCTGCCAGTGCAGGAAATGGACATTTTGGGGATCTAGAATTTCCTTTGGGAACCGTCAAAATTTTTCTGATGTTTTCCGATCATTGCTGTTGTGAACTTTTCAAGCTTCGGAACTGTGCTTGTAGGCTGCCTTTTTTAAATGTCTAAGGGAAAATTGTTAATACATTTATTTAAAATGCAACTTTAGGAATCACCCAGAAAGGTCAGTAAAGACCATTTTGTTAAAGTTGGCACCGTTCTTTAGCTGGTGCAGTGGTTTCTGGAAGTCATTTATTCTTAGCGGTGTGCACTTTCCCACCCCTTTTCCAACCGTTCATTGTGGGTCTGCCATGTCTTCTCACATTTAAAGGGTTTTGCTTTCCCTGGCTTAAAGTGGCTTAATATTTGTATTCCATCGATCTTTTCAAAAAGAGACTCTCTTAGTGGTGCCAAGTCTTCATTGTTAAATATCAACCATGGCATCCTGTCACAGTATATAAGCTGAATATTTGGGAGCTTGTTTCAGTTATATATTCCCTTGCCAAAAAGCATTTGGCACGAACACGTGATGTAGTTTGTATACATCACCTCTTTTTTTTTTTTTTTTTAATGATTTAAGGGAGCTTACAGAGATACAGGCATACCTCTTTCTGTTGTGCTTCGCTTTAATTGCATTTCACTGATAAGGCGTGTTTTACAAATTGGAGGTTGGTGGCAACCCTGCGTGGGAGGGAACAAGTCTGTCGGTGCCGTTTTTCCAGCAGCATTTGCTCAGTTCATGTGTCTGTCACATTTTGGTAATCCTTGCAATCTTTCAAACTTTTTTTAATCGTTACATTTGTTAGCGGTGGTCTGTGATCAGTGATTAGGACTTGCTGAAAGCTCAAGTGACGGTTAGCATATTTTAGCAGTATTTTTTTTTAAGGTATGTAGGGTTTTTTTAGACAGAATGCTATTGCGCACATAATAGACCACAGCATAGTATAAGAGCAACTTTTATAGGCACTGAGAATCAAAAAAACGGGACTCACTTTATTGTGATGGTCTAAAACCAAACCCACAGTATCTCCAAGGTATGGCTGCACATGTTACACACTGAAGCAAGATAAAAATAGCGAAATTAGGGGCTCCTGGGTGGCTCAGTCGTTAAGCGTCTGCCTTCGGCTCAGGTCATGATCCCAGGGTCCTGGGATCGAGCCCCGCATCGGGCTCCCTGCTCAGCTGGAAGCCTGCTTCTCCCTCTCCCACTCCCCCTGCTTGTGTTCCCTCTCTCGCTCTGTCTCTCTCTGTCAAATAAATAAATAAAATCTTAAAAAAAAAAATAGCGAAATTAAGAAGGATAAGGCCAGAGGAAAGTGAGGGTACAGGAAAGGGAAATGGGGGCTCTAATGAAGTTAGTAACATTCATTCCGTAAAATCTTACACACTTTCTGGAAGCAGGCCATAAACTGCATTCTGGGCTTTGTGACAACGATAGATGTGATGTAGGGTTAATTTTGTCTTCCTTACAGCTGACATGGATTTTCTTACATTCTGTGTAAGGTCCAGCAGCCAACCCGGACTTTTCAGTGCTGATGGGAAAAGCGCAGATGAGATGCCCTGAATGACTTTGAAGGCTGCAGGTCACTAGTAGTCACACTTAACATTTGGGAAGTGCTGAGGAGCCTGCTGGGTGTCGGCACCTAATAGCGTGAGGATAGTGCAGCTCGTGAGCATGGAGACCATCACTTGTCCCCTTCCTGAGTGGATTGCCCCGAAGTCAAATGACCATCTTTCTTTGCTCTTCTCTGACACGTCTAGACATGGGTTGACTCGCAGCATGCAGGCAAGGGGATATGCCTTTACCGGCAGGAAATGGTTACACTCCATCCCCTAAGCAGTGTAGCACAGAGACTCATTACTGTCACGGCGCCGTACTTTGTAAATAGTGTCTTTGCTTTTTGTACCATTGGGGGGGGGGGGTGCATTGACAATGCCTGTGTGACCTTGCTTGATGCTTTATTTCAGTAAAGTTTTTTTTGTGTGTACTAACAAACTTTAGTTTCG